GCACTCACTCGTTAGCTCCTCCACCCCACCCCCTTTATCATTCGTTCCTCTGGGGCTGGGTCTAGATTGCAAGATTGCAGGCAGGGAGTTGTTGCTCGTGCGTGTCTGTGAAGCACCTTGCACATCTATGAGGTTGATCCAAACAAAGTCATTAAGCTTCAGAACAGCACAGTAAGAACATCCTGAAAGACCAACACAAAGGCCTTAAGAATACTGTCTGGAGCACAGCAGGGAGCCCAAATGAGAACACGGGCTATGTGAAAGGGTAGGCACCTGGCACATACCGCTCCAAATGTAAGTCCTTTGCATGCCCGCTCCTCCCCCAGAGCATTAGTTTTAAAAGGCCGGGTTTGGGCAGCTCCAAGGCGACACTGAAAATGAGGCTGGTGCCAAATACAATGTGGATGTACCTGCTCTGCCCAGGCCTCTTTCCTACTACGAAGCAGCAACAACTCTGCCGCCACGCAGCAGATACATTCTCCTTGATCCTGTGTGCGCGCGCATGCACGCACACACACGCACACCAGCACTGGACAGCACGCTAATCCCTCTAGGAGTAGGGGCTAAAATGCGGGGGTGAGGAGGGACAGAGTACCAGTAAGTCCCGCAGCAGAGTCACCATCAGCTGTTATTTTAAGTCCTCCTGGTAGACTAACGCCAAGAGGCTAAGACTTGGACAGCCACATTCTTGCTAGAGGGTGACACAAAGTCTTCACTGCCCCGGACAAGCAAACAGAAAATAATTCCCTGATTGCTTTAGTTCAATACGCACTCAGAACCAGACCCAGGCTGCTTCTTCAGGACCTGGAGCCACAGAGGTGGTGGCCTAAATACTGAGCTGGGTATCTCTGATGCCACCATTCTGCTGAGATGCCCACTTGCAGGCATCACTGTGTGCTACCTGAAAACATCCCCAGAGCCATCTGTCTAGAAAAGCTAACAGCAGAAAGATTCTCTCCCAACACCATTCTGGATAAGCAAGGGTAGAAAGAGTTCAGTATGAAGCATTGTTACCCAGGGAAAGGGCTTTTAACTGCAGGGCTAACTCAGTGGATCTGTTTATTGCAGCGGTCAGACAGACCGGCGTTGAACGTATAAAAACTACACCCCACGCTCAAGAATTCAGCTACACTCACTGAACTTAGTACAGGTAGTGCAGACAGTACCACTGATATTTCAGACTGCCCAACACTTTCCTTTATAAATAACCAAACTGGGGTCCGATAACTGTACTTCATTTTAGCCCTTTGGGTTGAAATTCCCCGGGTCATGTTTTTGGCTCTGGCTTTTAGTTAGAGCAGCTCCTCTTTTTCCAAGGAAGAGTAGGGGGGAAAACAGTGTTTGTTCCTTAAAAAAAAAAAAAAAAAAAAAAATATTCTTCTAGCCATTGCCGAGAACTGCTTTTGGCTCAGGGAGGTGATATCTGGCAGGAGGGTCAAGACGGTGTCTTTTTCCAGGCCGGAGAGAATTTGCTCAAATTTGACCAAGTTAAACTGAAAAAAGACAATTCACATGTGCTCAGAGATTCAGAGTTTAGCAGCTAAATTTGCCAAACATTCTCTACTGAAGATGCTCCATCTCTGAGCTGAGCTTCTTGGAAGTTTTGCAAGATTGGCCTTAATCTCTCAGCTTCCCACCTGCCAAGTGGGAATGTCGCCATGTAATCTCACAAGAGCGTCATGAAGACAGCTTTATTAGTGTTTATGAAACACTCAAATACTTTGGGGAGACTGCCAAAGAAATGCTAAGAGGCAATACGCCATCCAAAACCTACACTGAATACAAAAGTAGGTAAGGTAAAGGAGACCAGGGGCTTTATACTGAACGTGGAGAGTTATTTGGGAGGACCCTCCCCACCCGCAAGGGCTGCTCCAGCCCCACAAGAGCTGGGAGCCGGCAGCCCAGCGCAGGGCCAGAAGCAGCCCCTCCCCTAGTCCTAAACTATGTAAAAATGGCCAGACTGGGTCAGACCAATGGTCCATCTAGCCTAGTATCCTGTCTGCCAACAGTGGCCAATGCCAGGTGCCCCAGAGGGAATAAACAGAACAGGGAATCATCAGGTGATCTACTTCCTGTTGATCAGACAGGGGCTATGGACACCATCCCTGCCCATCCTGGCTAACAGGCATTGATGCACCTACTCTCCATGATTTTACATGTAGCATCTCACAATGCCCGGACCTAGTGTGTTTCAATTATCAGTTTCCCATACAGGACAGATGTCACACACAACACGATTTGCTGAGAGTACAACAGTGGTCTTGTTTCAAAGATGCAATTCTCAAAATTCCATTTAGAAAGTTAGATCAGAAAGCGACATAACAGGATGGGCCAAGCACACTTTTAAACACCTGTGTTTATACACAGCCAAACCACAGTCACTCCTTATTAATCAGTATGTGGAACGCGCAGAATTTAGAAGAGGTTCCCATCACCCACACACAGTGATCAGCGCCACCCACCTGCTCTGAAAGACCTCTTACGGACCTTTAGGATGGGACGAGACCGAGGGAAGCGTCTAATTAGCACCAATCGTATTTTCTTCTTAGAGCCTGTTACCACAATTACCAGCAATGAGTCAGATACATACACAGGACATCAGTAGCAGCAGCAAGGTAAGCATCAAGAAAAATACAAAGCATCATCACTAAATGTGGTGTAAACTATGAGTTCAGTAGAAGCAGATGTGCTTAAACTGGTTCCGTGTCTGCTAGGGATGTTAGCTACTGGGTAATAAAACAGTCGTGTAACCTCATGAATTCTTGTCAGTTAGTCGACTATTTATAGACCCTGTGGGCAGAGCCAGTAGCTTGAGCTACGTGCTACACCAGAGGCAACAGCACTGGGTGACAGCAGCCCCTGTCCTCTGGGATCCAAGCTCCCCATGGACAGAGGCTGTTATCAGGGTCCATCCTATGTTCACGGTAGCCTGGGCTAGCCCACAGACAGAGGCTGCTTTTAAGCCAGCTTCCCCCAGCACTGGCTCCTGCTTCCCTCCTCCCCAGCAAGGAGTGTGTGCGTGCAAGTAGTCAACTAGATTAACTGATAAACCTAGACTTACTGGTTAATCAACTAGTCAAATACTCGTTCACATCCCTATCATCTGCCAGATTAAGGAACAATCATTGTGTACATTTGTTCTGATCAAATTCAGTAGCAGTGTGCTGCCACCTCGTGGCTAAAACGCAGCAATTATTTTATGCTGTGTCTAGGAATCAAATGCTTTTCATAGCAGTCATCACTCAAAGACAATGAGTAGGAAGGGGGGGGCGGAATAAAACCCAATCAATTTCATCCTAGCTCCTTTCCTGCTGTCATCACTAGCTCCATCTGTGCTGTGTGGATTTTAAAAGTCTCACCAGAGAAAAATAACCAGAAATGGACTACAGCCGGTCCCCGACTTACGAACGGGTTACGTTCTGAATAGCTGGTCGTAACTCGATTTGTTCGTAGCTGGAAATACCCCATACGAAGCACTCAAAGTGTAACCAACCACCAACACAGCAGCAATCAACAACGAAAAATAGAAACACACGAAAAAACACACCACTGCAGCAACAGCAAACTGTATTTAACAAACATGAAATACAAAACACAATGCAGTAATTTAAATACAGTAATGTGAACTGAATTAATTGGATGAGGAATAGGAGGAGTAAAAAACTACAGTAACATCATCATCATCATCATCAACAGATTCATCTTCTACTTCAGCAGTTCCTTTGCTTGTAGAAGGCATTATTTCAGTGTGGGAGGTAGCACTGCTGGGGGCTTTCTTTAAAAAATATATCCATTTTGGACTGGACAATTTGTTTTTTCTTCTCATTATATATTTCCTTATAGCAAGCCAGGGTGTCCTGAATTAAACGATCCACCTTTGAGAATCTCGCAACATTAGGGTCCATTTTTTCAAACATTTGCATTCCTTCATTTATTTTGCTGAAAGCTGCAGCCAGTTCTTTCATCACAAAGTTTTTGGGGGCTGCTGCTTCTTCTTCTTGGGCTCTTTGCGTCTCTTCCTCTGTTACCCTCTCCACCTTGAGCTGCATTAAATCTTCATTCCTCAGCTCCTCCCCAACACCCTCAACCAGCTGGTGTAGGTCTTCATTATCCATTTCCAGATCCACTTCTTTCGCCAGCTGTACAATGTTATTAGAAATGTCTTCCAGTGCCTTTTCTTTTTCAAAACCTTTGAAATAGTTCCCAAATCTTTTTAGGTTTTTCTTCCATATGCCATTCGTACATTGTGGAGTGACTTCTTCCCACCCTGAAGCAATGTTCCTTATGCAATGCAGAATGTTGTAGTCCTTCCAAAATTAGCGTGTTTTGCCATTTTGGCATTCTGTGGCAGCTACTGCCTTTGCAAATGTGTTGCGAAGATAATATGCTTTGAAAGCAGCTATGGCCCCCTGGTCCATGAGTTGGAGAATAGATGTGTTGTTGGGAGGCAGAAACACCACTTTCATGTCGGAATGGAAGTCATTTAGGTATTGAGGGTGACCTGGAGCATTATCCAAAATAAGAAAAATTTGGAAAGGAATTCCTTTCTCCAGAAAATATGACTTGACTTCAGGGATGAAGCAGTTCATGAACCAATCTTCAAAAAGTGTAAGCGTCATCCAGGCTCTCTTATTAGCACATTAATGGACTGGTTAAGTAGCCTTGCTGATATTCTTGAAGGCTCTAGGGTTTTCAGAGCGATAAATCAAGACTGGTTTCAATGTATACCCAGAAACATTGCCTCCTAACAAGACTGTTAGACGATATTTGAAAGCCTTATAACCAAGCATAGTTTTTGCTTCCCTATGTATGTAGGTATGTTCGGGCATTTTCTTCCAAAAGAGACCTGTCTCATCAACATTAAAGATCTGTTCTGGAAAATTATTTCCCTCTTATCAGCTTATCCAATTCTTCTATGAAAGTTTCTGCTGCTTTCGAATCAGCACTGGCTGCCTCCCCACTTAATTTCACATTATGAAGGTTTGGACGCATCTTGAAACGGTTAAACCAACTGTGACTGGCAGTGAAAGTTTGGTCATAGTCATACCCCTCCTTTTTATTTAAGTCTTCAAAAAGACTATGAGCCTTAGCTTGTATTGTCATGAGACTTAATGGCGTGCGTTTTTCAATTTGGTCTTCCATCCAAAGCACTAAGAGTTTTTCCATTTCCAGGATGGGACCTGCTCTTTGCTTTGTTAGAATTTTTGATTTCATAGGAGCAGACCTTTTCACTGCTTCACGAATGCGATCGCTATCCTTTATAATGGTGCTGACAGTGGATTTCGATAGCCCTAACTTACGCGACATGAAGGACACTGTTTGACCCCCTTCGTATTGTCTCGCTATCGCTATTTTCTGTTCTAAATCAATAGTTTTTCTCTTTCTTTTCTCACCCCCCTTATCACTAGCCCTTTTTCTTTTACTTGACATGATGGCCACAAGCAAACACCGAAAACACTGAGGGAATGAAATGTAAACACGCTGCCCGACCGCAGACTGGCAAACACAGCATGCTGCTCCTAAGTCGAGGTGGTCGTAAGTCAGGGAACAGCTGTAGATGATTAGTGGAAAATAGCATAATCCCTCCCGACACCTTCAATATTTACAAATATTGGCACACATCTCAGGTTCACCAGCCTCAGTTGTCTTTCCAATGTGTTCATGAATTTTGCAGCGTTATGGAAATTAACACAAGATGTGAGTTTGTTAACGAGGCCATTTGTATCCTTACTGCAAATCACTGCAATGGTTTGATGCAGTTATCTATTTTTAAACGCACCCTGTGTTACAATGCCAACATATTAATGTGTGGTGGTCATTAAGGCCAACAGATTAAGTTTGGCTTGCCAACATGTAGGTTTACTGACATGATCTCATCACTAGGGTGATGGCCCCCGAAAAGTGGGTTTGATCCAAGCTTATTTTAACAAGATACCATTCAAGCCAAATAAACAAGCAGCCTAATTCATTCAAACTCAGTTAGCAAGAAACGTGATCAACTTCCTTTTTTCAATCCCCACACCCCACTACATTTCACACTGCACTGCAGAGAAGGTTTCATGCTTCTGGAGCTGCAAGGGAAGCATTCACAGTAACTGAAATGTGTTGCAGCGGTGAGTAACTTACACCAAGATGTGTGCTGAAGTAGGAGGTTTGCTTAAGATGGTGGTAATTTGTAAATTGCATACAAGATGTATTTTGGCCATCACTACGATGAAAGGCAACTGCCTAAAAGGACTCGCCTCTTATGCAACATTGCTGTCCTTGTTCAGCATAAATGACATTAGCCAGCGAAGAAACTATACGAAATGTTTTGTGACAACAGAGTCACTTGTTACATGTGCCAAGTCAGTAACCAAAAGGTTATTGCCCTCAAGTCTACATTACCTTATTAAAGATTATCTGATGCTTTAAAAGGTGACCTGCAAAGGAAAAATATGAAACATCTATCCTTCTTGGTTTGCTTATAATGAACACAATCTAACAGGTGGGGTTTTTTATTCATTTGTTTGACATCAGAAGTACCTGGAAGGTCAAGTCTTGTCTTGTTTATTTTTTTGCTGGCGGTTTCCTTGGAGGACAAAGAGCTCAGCTCAGCCTTCAACTGGAAAGTCCAGGGCATGGAATCTTTTCAGCAACAACAACAAAAAACCCTCTTGCAGCTGCTTGTCAGGCACGGATTTAAATTAGTGTGAGAGCCTAAATAAATCTCTCTTCCCTTTTATTTCCTGGGTATTTGATATAATCCCACCAGCTCTCCATTTGTCCATAAAGTATTCCAGGGGAAATAAGAAGATAAGCCACCTGTATTTGTATTTAAAAGACAAGCAGAAAAGAGATTTTAGAAAAAAAAAATCTCAAACTTTTATACAGCATAAATGTGTCACCAAAAAAGCAAACATCCTTTGCAGGTCACCTTTCAATAAAATTAACCAACCCCCAATAAACCTTCGGATTAACTACAGATCAAGCAGGAAGTTGTCAAGAGAGTGCTTAGATACAAACAGATTGGAGTCCAAATTCCATTCTTGGTTACACATACGCAGAACCCAATGGAGTTAATGAAAATTCTGCATAAGGGTTTTGCCCATGAAAGCTCATGATACTATATTTATTTTTGTTAGTCTCCAAGGTGCCACAGGACTAGCTGTTTTTAAATTTACAGACTGACACAGCTATCTCTCTGAGATTGCACAAATAAGCAACAGCCTTGGTTCCACTTATCTGTATGAGTCATTCCAAGATCTCACTCTCATAAAGAGATTCAAAACAGAGAGAGTTTACTTGCCAAGATAGACACCAGAAGCCAACATTACCATCCAAATAGGCTCTTGCTAGTTCAGAAGTGACAGTTTAATTTCAGACTATACAGGTACTATTAAAACTCTTCATTTGCATCTTTAGAACACCCTGACACCTGTACATCATGCACATTGCTAATCTAATGCATCCCCGTTACCCTCACCCACGCCTTCTCCATTGTGGACAGCAGCTACCTGTTTCTTTGCCTTTTGAAGGAGTCAGAAAGCTCTTTACGGCAGAGCGCTGACATGTTCGTGGAGGCCACTGCCTCAATTCAGTAATGACCACCCCTCTACCTGACAATAACTTGAATCTCGGATTAGGGCCACTTCACTCTTCTATCTTGCTCCTTTTAGCAAGCACTTTTCAAGCAGTACTCCGGAAGCTAAATTACAGGATTTCCACTCTATGCAAACAGGGAAAGCTTGGGGAACCCAGAGCCTCTTTTACTTTGTTTAGAAGTGTGCTTCAAATATATGTGAGAGAAGATATTTCCCACCCTGGCTCCTTAGGCAACCAATCCTTCATACTGTACTAGACCTTTCTACTTTCAGATGTCTGGGAAAATATGGTCTGATATTACAACACACTAAATTATAAGACAAGGCAAAGCCATGGTACGCTGGAAAAAACCTCTGGCTCATGCCCTTCTGATAAACACCAATTCTGCTTAGATCAATTTGCACCCGAGTATGAGAGAGAGGAAACTCCAGTCCGAGACATCGGCTATAAAGATCTCAAATTTTAACCTGTCAACTGGCATCATGCAAGGAGGATATTAAGCAGACTGCTAATTTCAATGCAATGGATATAAGAGAAATGATGATTTAGACAAAATGCCTTCAAAGTTCTGAACAGATTTTCATTTTTGCTTTCTTAGTTCTAAGACTGCAATGCAAATTTGGTTTCCATAAAACCAAACAAGGCACTATGAACTTTCAAAGGATGAGAAGAATCCAGACCAGCAGCATGACATTGAAACACTGCCACATGGACGTACCTCAAAAGGGTTCTAAGTTAGGACTCATCAAGTCACTTTTCCATGACGTGGCTGCAATCTAAAGTCAACTGTATTTTTTCCCAGCCAACCACTCTATAATCTCTCCCATATATAATTGACTTCAAGGCACAAAGAAAGCAACTCATCCACTGAACACAAGCAGCAAAAATGTACAGTAAGAGGGACTTTCAGTAGAGTAGCAAATAGACAAGTTTAGTGGACAAAGAAATTTGTCTTCAATTGTATCATTTTTTTAATCTCAGGAAAGAAACCTTAGTATCCTGCTACTTGCCAGATTTGTACAATAGCTTATGTAGCAGTCACTACTCTAATAATCTCTTTCCTACTTTGGATTTTGGAAGAGGTACTACATATGGTGTTTGAAAATCAGGGGATACTGAGCATTTTCAAATGAGAGGCCACTTTCAACTTGTTTTTGAGACCACCTGCCTGAAATCTAGCCAGTGTCCCTATAAAAGGACTAAGTTTTTAAAGCAGAGCTTAATTAAAAACCACAATTATTCAACTCGGATGAGTTGATTACACTTTTCCTGGGGAAAGCTACTTAAGCTGCCAATTTCTGCAGCATTTCAGTTTTGTTGTTAGTGAAACTGACAGGAATCACTTCCATTTCACCCCCTT